TTTAACTAGGTTGTGATCAGAAAATAGCCAATTTTGCTTTCTGCTTCTTGGGGTGTTCAACAATTTTGTCAGCCAAAAACTGTTAGCTGCTGCATTTTTAACAATCCTTTATTGGATAATAAGGTTTTGTTTTCATTTGTCTCCTATGGCTGGAGCCTCTGTTAACAATTATATTGGGGAAAAGGTTTCCACAGTCTACCAAAACCTTGGATTAGCACTACAGAAAAAACAAAACAAAACAAAACAAACAAACAAACAAACAAAAAGAAGGAAAAACAAAGAACACTTAAGAAGAAGGGCAGGTTTGGTCTTCTGTTCGTACAGAACTAGGTTACTTCATTACGTAAATTAGGCAAAGGAAATGAATACACTCAATATAGTGAAGCTTGTCTCTTGATTGGCAAGACTCAGCCACCCAGTTTAAGTGGTCTTTACTTGTTACTTCAGGGGTAATAATATGGGGTTTTGACAGCAGAGCTGGGCAGGGGCCTGCCTGGCTCAAAAGCACCGTCTGTCCTACCGTGATGTTTTAGTGGCTGTTCCAAGGACAATGTCTTTTTGGTTTACAGAGGCATTTTTTTCACACTTAACTTGAAAAAACTGCTGCTCTTATCACCTTAGGAACATCTTCAGACCAAACCAAGTTTTTCCTTTTCCTTTTAATTTCCAAGGCAGGAGAGTTTCTTACTGGTTCATCAAGACACATTTCTTCATTTCTTATGTTCTTTGTTTCAGAAGACAGTTTTGAGGCTTGTGCATAACCTCTGCTTTGATCTCTGGTCTCATGTATCAGGCAGCATCACTTTGGGATCTTTAAGATGGCACATCAAGAAAGAGTGTCTGTTTTGGCCATCGGCCTGGGTCCTGAAATTTGAGTATAAATGAGACCCCAAATGGTTCACAAATTGGAAAGACAAAATCAGAGACTGTAGAAGAAAAGAGGACAAAAAAAAGAGAATTTAAAGGGAAAAAATGGAGAAAGTTGAAATGCACTGAAAATAGGGACAGTGCAAGCCATAGAACAAAGGAGAAATTTTTTAAGGGTATCCAAATTTTTTAAAAAATGGGTTTGCAGAAGAATTGTACTGCAAAACCTCCAAATCTACACAGACAGGAATGTAGCTGTAACATATGTAGGGTTCATTGCATAACCTTTCCTGAGAAGACTGCCTGGAACTTTGTATTAAAAACTCAGTATTGCTTTTAACTTTGTCAGGCTTTAACAATTTCCCATAGAGGTATGAAAAATATCCAGCCATACCAGACCAACTATTTTCAATCATAGGGTAAAAGAGTTATTTGATTCACCAATATAAAAGATAATCTAGTGACTTTTTCTTTATTTCGAAGACTTTTCAAACATGTGAAATTCAGCATCATGGCTGACCATTTTGACAAGGATACGATTTCTGTTGCAAGACCGGAACAAACACAAAGAAGCCTCTGAAAAAAATCTCTATTTAGGTACATTTATTTCTCCTTTTCATCAGCCAAAATTTCTAAAGATTTCAACTCCACAAAGCATCCCCAGACTTTCAGACTTTCTAGAGATAAAGTTCATATTCTGCTACTTCACAGAGTTGGTCTCCTATTTGATATTGGACTGCATGTTGCAAAGATAAACTAATTTTTATGAACTTTGCAAATATTATCACAGTCTCAGTAATGTGGAAAAAAAAAAAGGAAGAATTCTGCCAAGGAGGCGAGGTCTGAAAAAAGTGTATTGAATAAGGCACTGGGTCACAGTCTGAATAATTAGAAGGGCACCCAGAAAGAAAAATTATTATACATAAATATTTATTTGAAGGATGGTATTAGAAAGCACATGGACAAGAAAGGAGGGTGGAACTATGCACAGTTTTAAATCTTCATTTCTTAATCTATAATTTTTTACCTTACTAAACATCTGTAAAATACAGTCTGACACATCTAATACATTCATACAAGAAAAGTAAATGTAATTGCGTATGCAGAATCAATGCACGCATGCAGTCTACATAGGAGCACACACATACATACAAATTAAATGAATGAGAAAAGGTGATGCAATACAAGGATGTAGGATAAATTGTGTTTACCTCATTTGTAATTGCACAGTTCATCCTAACCATATGGTGAAGAACTATATAACCCACTCCATGCAGTGTATACTGACTAGGTCACATTCAGTTTAACTTCATAGTCTGCCAAAAAGCATTTCCTTTTTTGGTGGAGCCCATCAAACTGACTCCAAAGTGACAGATGAAAAGAACTTGTTGTCTTAAAACAGTTAGTAGAGTAGTTTCACTCAAATAGCTGCAAAATATGGTAAAAAATGCTCAAAAGCTTTAAGCTACAAGATGTGATTACAAGCAGTTGCTGTTTGCTATGAAATATATAAGTTGTGCATTTTGGTTCTCATATTTGAATTGACTCAATATTTTAGTCAACAGAGTGTCTCCCTAAGGAATCAAATAACATAGAGCCCATCTGCTGAAGAACTGTATTTAACCTCCTATGTAGTCAGGAAATTGAGATCACCCAGGATTTCCTGTCCAGTGGGCTAAGGTTTTTTTCACCTTTTGATTGTGTTGGTCCAGATTCTTTCAAGTCTCAGAGTTGTTCACTTTCTGCTTCACCTGATTTACCAGCATAAACTTCTCTATCTGTGCTTTGCACTCTCCATGCTACTTTAATAGGCTACTAAGCCTGAAGCTCCAGATGCAATGAGCTCAGTGAAATCAATGGGAAATATCTGTGTGCACAAAAGGCCAGATTTTGATCCATTGTGTTCAAGCAGAATGATCCTCATTAACCTAACAGATAAAGGCAGCAATGAGCGACATTTCTCTAATATCCATGAAATCACTATTTCATGATACCAGTGAGAGCCAAGGGAGGAGGTTTCTTGGTTGCAATAATTAATAATTTACAAAAAGCTTTAACTAAGCAAGACATTGCCCACCTGGAAATTGGAATGAAAGGATATTAATGAAGCTGCAATGCAGATGGTCATGCTGAAGGTGATGAAGAATTTATTAGAGAGACAGCCATCAGAGGCTGTGTAGTATATGAAGCATAAAACTGCTATAACTAATGACAGCAAGTAGTTTAGGCAAGTAATGGACAGCATAGCTACAAAAGGGAACATGGAGATATATTATTTAGTAATAAAGTTCTCATAAAAATGTGAAATATGAAGTAGAAAGATTAATATGATTGCACAAGCCATCTTAAATATCCATACTGAACTTCTGCCTTTTAAAAGAAGTAGACTGAATTTATGCCCAAGCAGCAACATGTAAGTCACGACACTTATTTACATAGTTTATGCAAACTACTACAGATCTATCCATTTAATTTATTGAAATAATGTTTGAAAGTGGCATAATTTATTGCATTAAGAATACAGCAGATGCTATATTTCTATCTGCCAAGTGATCCAAGAAGTGTAAGTCAGGTTATCAATCATCATATCATACTCCAGAAGATCCAAGGACCTGCAGGTTAGCGGCTGCTCTGCTTTAATAATTGCCATCTTCCCTGAGACTGAGCAGTAATCCTATCTTTACATATCCACTGTTGGATTTAATCTTTGCACAAAAACTCGGTGAAAGAGTTGGCTGCAAAAGACAACATGAATATAAACATTGCTTAAGACACTTTCTTTCCTAGCATTTTGTTTGCAATTGGAGCTAGAAAATATTTTTTTCATTAAACCACCTCTTCTGTGGTTTTCTTTTAGTAGTAGTAGAAAGTTGAAGAATTTTAGATTATGCTAACACAGGCATGCAGATGAGGTTAGTAGAGGGAAATTACAGAGGATTCTGGGCTATTTTTAAAAGCTGTTGAAGCCTACTTTTCTCTCACCCATCTCAATTCATAATACATTAGGAAATGTGAAATGTGTCTTTAATGCATACATTGATCAAGCTGCCTAATTAGAGGAAGCCATTCTTTTTTCCAGTTCATTTTAAAATGTATGAATGCCTATCCAAGACCAAAATCACTATACTTGAATGAGAATTTTCTGTCCAAATAAAAGATTGTTCTAGTGCAGATATCCTGTATTACAAAAAGCACTGCAGATTGCTACACTTCAGTCCACAATAAAGGTTTATCCTTCTTCCCAGAATAAAAAGAAAAAATTATCTAAAATATTCTTGATGTTATCTAAAAAAGGGATTTTAATGTATTTGCCCAAATTTAGCCATAATACTTGTCTTTAGTGGAATTACAGTAATGTGAGATTGGCACAAAGTAAAACACAAAAGGACTTTCTTGAGGACATTTACTTGATCATTATTCTAGAAGGACAGCTGTTTTCTCAGCCACACTTTTACTTATTAAGTTTTTAATTATTTTTGTGCAATATATTTTTTTCTGTCAAGCAGTACTTCTGGAAATGCCTTTGGTATTGGGAACCACTGCTTGCATCTCTGGTTTGCTGAAACAGTTTTGGAAAGAAGCAGCTGTTGAATTGATCAGGCAGCTGCACTCAGGCAGAGTGAAGTCCAGCGGGTGAGAGCCAGTCATACGGGGGGGCTCCTGAGTCCAGGAACACCCAGGCAGCAGCCCCACGACCCAGAAGCCCACAGCAGCCAACCAGGCAAGGAGGGGGCAGTGCCGGGAGCGACCAAGGGACATTTAAACAGCTCTCGGCAGAATGAACAACCCAGAGCACAGCGAACAGGAGCGAGCAAACAGGGCCATGGCAGGGCAGTGAGAATGTGGCACGGCAGTGAGGGTGTGGCGCGGCAGTGAGGGTGTGGCGCGGCAGTGAGGGTGTAGCAGGGCACTGAGGGTGTGGCGCGGCAGTGAGGGTGTAGCAGGGCACTGAGGGTGTGGCACGGCAGTGAGGGTGTGGCGCATCAGTGAGGACACAGCCCAGCACTTTGCAGGGCAGTTCCCGCAGGCAGGGTGAGCAGGAAGATTTCCTTTCGGACCATCTGGGAGCAGCTAATAGAGGCAGCAAACAGAGTAAGAAGCTGGTAAGGAAGAGCAAAGAGATCCTTTCAGCCCCAGTCTTATTAGCATATTAGTTTAAGATCCTCAGTGACGGTGTTGACATGATGTAAAGCTCAATCCCCTGTAGCTGTAAGAGTCACTGTACCAGTCATGTCACAGGCAGATGGACAGACAGACCTGATGATGGCAGACGCAGCTCTCCAGGTCACAGGTTGCCAGGAGTGCCTGATGCCTCTTCACGAGGCTGGGGCAGACAAACAGTTGTTTTGCAGAAGGTGTGCTGGGGTTGAAGAGCTGTGTTGCCAGGTGAAGGAGCTACAGGAGGAAGTGAACGGGCTTCGTAGTATTTGGGCAAATGAGCAAGAGATTAACTGGTTATTTTCAGAGAGGCTACAGCCTCAAGATTCTCAGGAGTCTCAAAACCCCGTTGTAGTGGAGAAGCAGGTGGACTCGGAACCCTGCAAGGTAATTAGTCAAACAGTTGTTACTCCAGGGTCTGTTAAAGGTGAATGCTGGAAGCTGGTGACTGCACATACCAGGAGAAAGATTCCTCTTTCTTCTCAGAATTTGACAGGTAGGACTTGCACCTTCTACAACAGGTATGAGGCTCTGGAACTAGAAGGCCAGACAACTGATGAGGTGGGCAAAGGTCCTCCTCGGGCCTCCTAAAACAACACCATCTGTACCCTGCATCAAGATCTTCTCTGTTAACAGGGAAAGAAGGGTAGTTGTAATAGGAGACTCTTTTCTAAGGGGAACAGAGGGCCTGATATACACACTGGACTCAACTCACAGGGAAGTGTGCTGTCTCCCAGGGGCTCAGACAACGGACATTACCAGAAAACTCTTCAGTCTAGTAAGGCCCTCTGATTACTGTCCACTATTGGCTGTTCAAATTGGCAGCAATGAAATAAAAAAGAGAAGTCTAAGGACAATCAAAAGAGACTTCAGGGCCCTTGAACAATTGGTAGATGGTAGTGATTTTCTTGATTCTTCCCATAATGAGGAGTAATATTGAAAGGAATAGGCAGATACACCAGGTCAATGAGTGGCTCCGAGGCTGGTGTAATTGGAAAAATTTTGTGGTTTTTGACTATGGGATGATCTGCTCAACACCTGGTCTACTGACATGTGACACCTATCTCAAAGGGGGGAAATTAGTTTTAGGGCAGGAGCTAGTGAGGCTGGTGAGGATGGCATGCCAAAACAAGCACCAATGGGATCCCTCAATCTGCCTCAAGAGGTGTTGGCTACAATGTATCACACCTGAAATGTTTCTACACCAATTCCCACAGCATGAGGAACAAACAAGAGGAGCTTGAAGCTCTGGCCGGGTCCCAGAGAGTCGACATCATTGGCATGAGTGAAACCTGGTGGGATGAGACCTGTGACAGGAGTGCCCTGTTGGACAGTTACAGGCTCTTCAGGAGGGATAGGCAGGGTAGATGATGTGGAGCAGTGGCACTGTGTGTAATAGAAGGGTTAGGATGTATGGAGCTCACAGTGGGCAGTAGCACAGTTCGGAGCCTCTGGATAAGAATCAAGGGACAAACAAATGTGGATGTCATCATGGGAGTCTGCTATAAACCTCCTAGCCATGACCATGATGCTGATGAATTATTCTTCGGGGAACTAAGGGACACTTCCAAGTCAACTGTCCTTGTCTTTATGGGGGACTTTAGCTTGCCAGAAAATAACTAGGAACATCATACAGCTGGTACAACCCAGGACAGAAGATTCCTAAAAAACCTAGATGGTAACTTTAGGGAACACATCCTAAGGGAGCCAACTAGGAAAAATGCCCTCCTTGATCTTCTGTGTGCCAATAGAGTAGATCTCATGAGCAAAGTGGAGATTGGAGGCCGTCTTGGCCATAGCAACCATGAGACAATCGACTTTAAAATCTCTGTTGACAGGAGGAAAAGTGCCAACAAAACCTCAACTCTGGACATGAGGGGTGCAGACTTCAGGCTGCTCAGGGAATTTGTAAGTAAGATCCCCTTGCAAAGTGTTTTTTCAGGTGCTTGGATCCATCAGTGCTGGTCCCTTTTCAAACATCACTTCCTAAGGGCACAGGAGCAGTCAATGCCCAAATGTTGGAAGTCAAGCAGGAAAGGCAGAAGGCCAGCTTAGCTGAGCAGTGATCTGCTCTTTGAAAAAAGGTAACAAAGAAAGGTGTATGCCCAGTGGAAGGAAGGCCAAGTGACATGGGAAGAATACAGAGATTCTGCTTGCCACTGTAGGGAGAAAATTTGTGTGGCCAAAACTCAATTGGAGTTGAAGCTGGCCAGAAATGTGGGGTACAATAAAAAAACTTTTTTCAAATACACTAATGTCAATAGGCAGTAGAGAAATGCCATTGGCCCATTCCAGGATGAGGATGGTCGCCTCACAAACAGGGACAGAGACAAGGCAGAGGTGTTTAACGCTTTCTTTGCCTCTCTCTTCAACACGGATGATGGACCGAGGGGGTCTCAGTGCCCTGAGCTGGATGACCATGACTGTGAGAAAGATCAGCTCCCAGTTGACCCTGAAATTGTGTGGGATCTGCTGCTCCAGCTGGATTCCTACAAATCTATGGGTCCTGATGGGATTCATCTCAGAATCATTAAGGAGCTCGCTAATGTCATCACACAACCTCTCTCAATGATTTTTGTGCAGTCTTGGGAATCCAGAGAGTCCCAGCTGACTGGAAGCTGGTGAAAGTTGTCCCAATTTTCAAGAAGGACAAGAAGGAGGGCCCTGGAAACTACAGGCCTGTCAATCTCACTTCACTGCCTGGTAAAGTTATGGAGAAAGTTATTCTGGGAGGTATTGAAAAACACTTGAAAGACAATGGTTACAGCCAGCATGGCTTCATGAGAGGAAATCAAACCTGATTTCCTTTTATGAATAGATAACCCACCTAGCTGATCAAGGGAAGCCAGTTGATGTCATCTTTTTGGATTTCAGTAAATCTTTAGATACTGTCTCTCATGGGATCCTTCTGGACAAAATGTCCAGCACACAACTGGATAAACACATCATGTGGTGGGTGGGCAATTGGCTCATGCATCAAGCAAGTTTGCAGATGACACAGAACTGGGAGGACCTGTTGACTCCTTCAAAGGCACGGAGGCCCTACAGAGAGTCCTCGACAAATTAGAGAACTGAGAAATCAGCAACCAAGAGGAAGTACTGGATTCTGCACCTGGCATGGGGCAACCCCAGATGTACCTACAGACTGGGGAATGAGATGCTGGAAAGCAGTGCCATGGAAAGAGGCCTGGGGGTCCTGGTCGATGGCAAGTTGAATATGAGTCAGCAGTGCCCTGGCAGCCAGGAGGGCCAACCGTGTCCTGGGGGGCATCAGGCAAAGCATCACCAGCTGATTGAGGGAGGAGATTGTCCCTCTCTGCTCTGCACTGGGGTGGCCTCACCTTGAATATTGTGTGCGGTTTTGGGCACTGCAATATAAGAAAGATATTGAGCTATTAGAGAGTGTCCAAAGGATAGGTTAGATGTTAGAAAGAGATCCTTCACCCAGAATCTGGGTGGTTGTGTGCTGGGACAACTTCCTCAGGGAAGTTATCACAGCACCAAGCCTGACAGAGTTCAAGTAGCGTTTGGGTGATTCTCTCAGACACGAGTCTTGTATGACACTTGGGGATGGTCCTTTGCAGGGCTAAAAGTTGGACTCAATGATCCTTGTGGGTCCCTTCCAACATGACATATTCTGTGTTTCTGTGAAAAAAAAAGGTTTATTTTGATATGTCAACAGTAATATTTTATTAGCAAATTCTGGGTCACTCACTATTGAGAGACTTATAAAATCTTCTAAAGGGTAGTAGTATGAACAAATCTGTAGCTTTTGTTGCTTTGGGGCACTGGTTTACAAATCATATAATATCTTCTATGAAGAATATTCCATTTTCCTTTTAAAACGTTTCTATTCTTTCCTTCTTTTTCTCTCTCTCATTTTTTTTTCTTTTGGAGATGGAAAAAGTTTAGAAAAAATTAACCTACAGGGTGGATAATTTTCTATTTCCACAGTACACTGAATTATTCTGCTACCACGATGTAGTTTGTCATATTTAGTAGAGGGTTTTTCTGAATCATAAATGAATAAAATAGTTCATTTAACTGTTACTGGCATTTTACACTTTCCCCTTGTGAGCGGTTTTGCTGGCCTTATAATACTATTTTGGCTAGTTGAAATCTCATGAGTTATGAGTGTTATTTCCTTACAATTGCACATATTTTCCATATTTCACACAAACCAATTATTTATCACACACATATACATGTGTTTCAAATTATTTTTAAATTAGTTCCTTCCTATTTTATACTGTTTTTAAATTACTCTCAGTGTTTTGAATCTTAAAATAAATGATCTATTCACCACTTAGTAATGTTTTTCAAGATTTCACAGAATAGCTGCTGGTTTGTTTATGAAGAACACACTTTCTCACCTATGCATCATATCCTCTTGCACCAAGGGATACTTGGCAGTTGGTTCTCCCTTTCTCTCCCATGAATGGTGCAAAGCCTAACCAGTATAGCAGAAATTGGGATTGCTTGAGGTTCAAGACATTCCTTAATCCAACTTCATTGTCTATTTCTGTTGTGCCAGGTGGCAAAGGCTACATAATTCCTCATGTCAATCCTGCAAACAATGGGCATAAGAGAAAGGAAATACATGAGTGCCCATGTAACACCATAAGGTGATGTTTAATACATAATGTTTTAAATATATTGTAATATAAATTAAATGCAATGTTTTATGTTATACTTATATATTCCATATTTAGATGACAATATATAACAATATATATTGTTTTAATAAATAGATCTATTTTCTTCCATTTTACCAGTTAAAGGCAATGGCTGCAGTCGGCACTAGACATAAAATGCCAATCAAATTTTGGCTTTGTGGCTGGTGCCATTGTGAGAGTTTTGGCTTTTTAACAATGGTACGTACTTAGATGCTTCTAGAGTGTTAGGGAGGAATAGGATCCACTTGTCTTGAAGAGGCAAGAGAGTCTTTGTCAGCAGGCTGGCTGACTTTATGAGGCGGGCTTTAAAGTGAAGGACTCAGGATGCAGGGTCCAGAGGGGCAATACTCAGGCCATCACATCCAACTTGGGAATAAGCCAGGCCATTCTGAGCTTGTTTCTGCCTTCTTACATAACTTGGACAGAATTGAGTTGTGGAGTGAGAGAGGATCTGCTCACTGGGATGTCTGAGTAGGCTAATTCACGGTGAGCTCCTTTCTCTCAATGTTTTGCCTAGATTGTCCTGGCATATATGGAGAATCTTCAGAAAACAATTGCCAAAATCAATGTTCTTTTGTTCCTTCTAATTTTGTTTTGTTTTCTCTACCGTGTTTAGGTAATTACCCAGATATCCACGTCTCATCAAAAATAATTGCCTTTGGCAGAATAGATGAATTTCCTAATTGCCTTCCTAACAGTTGGCCTGAACAATTTGTAAATTTACCACTTTTCCAAGTATTCTATTGTCTAGTCTGTATCATTGTATATTTGAAAATGTCATCATTTGCTAGTTACCTAAGCTTCATTTTGTATTCCTCTTGCTTAACAAAGAACTTTCAAAGGATAACTGAATGTCAAGAATTTTTATCTATTTCTAAAGTAATCTTCACTCTAATTTTTGAAATTGTATGTTTTCTTTCCATGACAATTCTTCCCCCCTCCAAAAAAATTAAACCCTTTTAATCCCTTTTCATTTCT